GAGGTTAGACAGTCAATTAGAAATTTTTCTTGTTTTTTGAGGTAGGCCTGTAGTGCTATGAACTTCCCTCTCAGAACTGCTTTCGCTGCATCCCATAGATTTTGTGTTGTTGTGTGTTCATTTTCATTGGTTTCCAGGAAGTTTTTGATTTCTTCCTTGATCTCCTCTGTGACCCATTCATTGTTTAATAACATGCTATTTAGCCTCCATGTGTTGAAATGTCTTTGCATGTTCTTGTTGCAATTGATTTCTAGTTTCATGCCATTGTGATCTGAGAAGATGCTTGATATGATTTCAATCTTCTTGAACTTGTAGAGATTTAGTTTGTGTCCTATCATGTGGTCTATCTTTGAGAATGTCCCATGTGCACTTGAGAAGAATGTGTATTCTGTAGTTTTGGGGTGTAATTCTCTGTAGATATCTATTAAATCCATTTGGTCTAGTGCTTCATTTAGAGTCTCTGTTTCCTTGCTAATTTTTTGCCTAGAGGATCTATCCAGTGCTGTCAACGGGGTGTTGAAGTCCCCAGCTATGATTGTATTGTTGTCGATTTCTCCTTGGAAGTCCTCCAGAAGATTTTTAATATATTTTGGTGCTCCTATATTGGGTGCATATATGTTTATCAAGGTTATATCTTCCTGTTGGATAGATCCTTTCAATATTATGTAGTGGCCGTCTTTGTCTCTAGTTATGGTCTTCATTTTGAAATCTATTTTATCAGATATGAGAATTGCTACCCCAGCTTTTTTTTGCTTTCCATTTGCTTGGAAAATTTTTTTCCATCCCTTCACTTTCAACCTATGTGAGTCTTTTGTTGAGAGATGGGTCTCTTGTAAACAACATATAGATGAGTCATGCTTTCTTATCCAATCAGCTACTCTGTGTCTCTTTATGGGAGCATTCAATCCATTTACGTTTAAGGTGATTATTGATATGTACTTATTTATTGCCATTTTTGTTTAGTGTGGTTCTATTTTTGTTCCCATTTCTACTGCTAATTACAGCAGTCCTTTTAACATTTCTTGCAGTGCTGGTTTGGTGCTAATGTATTCCCTTAGCTTTTTTTTGTCTGGGAAGCTCTTTATTTGATCTTCTATTTTGAATGATAGCCTTGCTGGGTAGAGTAGTCTTGGATTCAGATTCTTGTTTTTCATGACTTTGATTACTTCATGCCATTCCCTTCTGGCCTGTAGTGTTTCTTGTGAGAAGTCAGCTGAGAGCCTTATGGGGTTCCCTTTGTAGGTAACCTGTTGCTTATCTCTTGCTGCTTTTAGGATTCTCTCTTTGTCTTTAATTTGTGGCATTTTAATTACTATGTGTCTTGGTGTGGGCCTGTTTGGGTTCTTCTTACTTGGGACTCTCTGTGCTTCTTGAACTTGAATGCCTTCTTCCTTCACCAAATTAGGGAAGTTTTCTCTCACTATTTTTTTGAATATATTCTCTATCCCTTGCTCCTTTTCTTCTTCTTCGGGGACTCCTAAGATGCGAATATTATTACGTTTCCAGTTGTCCCATAGTTCTCTTAAGCTGTCTTCCTGTTTTTTAATAGTTTTTTCCTTTTGTTTTTCTGATTGGTTGATTTTTTCTACCCTGTCTTCTAATTCACTGATCCGGTCCTCAGCTTCCCCTACTCTGCTTTTTAAACCTTCCAATGTGTTTTTCATTTCGGATATGTCATTTTTTATCTCTTCTTGTTGGTTTTTAATTTCCATTTGGCTTATTTTCAGTGTCTCTATGTCCTTACTCATGCTGTTCAGCTTCCTCAAGATCATGGCTCTGAATTCTAGCTCTGTTAACATGCCTAATTGCTCCACATTGATCTCATCTTCGGTGGAGGTGGTTTGCTCTTTCATTTGGCTTCTGTTTCTGTGTTTCACCATTTTAGCTATCACTCTGGGCTTTGGAGCCTGTCAAGTTCTCCCTGTGGGTGTTGGTGTTCTGCTGTTTGTGGCTCCCTCTCCTGTGTTTAGATGAGCGAGGGAGGACCCGCGTTGAACACCACTGTCAAGTCTTACTTTCCTGGTTAAAGCTGCCAGCCCAGGAAACGTACTGTTATCCTCTAGCTTTTTGCCTGGAAGCTAGCAGTCTAGGTTAATTGATGAGTTTTGGGTTGTCAGTTGATTGAAAAACTCCCTCTGGTGCTCAGCCAAGGGGCTTTCACGAGGGTGGGGCAGATGCTGGTCCTTAGTGAGCCTCAATTAACACTTCAATGGCCCACAGGGTGGGGTTGGATCTCCGAGGGAGGGGCTGCTGCCTCTCCCCAGAGCCCTGGGAAGAAGCAATGTGGCCACCGTCCTGAGTGGCTGCACTCAGCCAAAGCTCCGAGAGCCCTCCAAACCCCGAGTGTCCCGACACAGTTCCAGTCCAGTCCGCCCTCCCTCCGCCGGAGCCCAAGGTGAGTGGCTGTGGCTGTTTCAGCCTCTGTCCAGTCTGCGCTGTGGAGCCGCCTGGGAGTGTAACCCGAGGGCGCTGCTCCCAGCTGAGACCGCTGCCGAGCTGCCGACCGTGGGCTCCCAGCCCCGTCTCGCGCCTTCGCAAGCCTACCGGGATGGAGTCAGTGTCCCTCGTTGTATGGTCCTCGCAAGCTTCTTTTCTGTTGGTTTTTCCCGTCGATTTGTCTGTGTTATAGTTGTAATTCCAGTTTGGTTCTGGGAGACGGTCTGTGTAGCTCCGTTCACTCCGCCGCCATGTTTCTGTTCTCAGCCGTCTTCTCCATCCAGGCACTTGGAGGGCTTTTTGTGGGGAGAAGCACTTCCTGTCGATAGAAATTCAATTTGCTGCTGAAGTTAAGATGCCATCAGCCCCTCTCCCCCTTGTTCTACTGCTTATAGTGTCATTTTAAATCTTAAACCTCTACTGGCATTTATTTCTGATCTAATTATAAAAACGCACAGAATTCTGTCTTTCAAAATTACCAAAAAGAACTGGAATTTTATATTTATTGATAAAATATAATTGAATCAAATGAAAGGGTTAAATAGTTCTTGTATCATTCGAAAAAAACACAAATGAGTTATTTTGAGATTCAAACTAAATTACTGTCCATTTATATTTGTGGGATTGTAATTACTATTTGTGTATTTTTTCCTGAGATTTACCTCTAAACTAAAAATTTAATGATGAAAATATACATAAAAATGGACTCTTTTCTTCACATTACCAATGATACTAATTTTTAAAACTTCATTAAGGAAAATTTCAAATGTACACACAGAGAAAGGCTAAAATAATGAATCCTTCTCTCCCTTACAGACTTAAGGCAACTCTCCTGTTGCTTTCACTCAGCTTTAATAATTCTCAATTTCTGGCCAACCACAATCACAAATTATTTTGGTGAAAATATCAGAATCATATCATTTAACCTGGAAAAGTTTCAGTATATATATTTAAAAGACTATGAGTCTTTGAAAAATGCATCCAGGATAATAGTAATACACCTAAATAGTAATAATTGCTTGATGATATTCATTTTCAAAGTTATTGTTTTAAACTTTTGAAAATTTAATAACATAATTGAAACATTTGACATTAGATGAAGTGACAGTTATATTTTTGGTCTTTTTTTTCTTAGTATAGGGACTTGGATGTGTACCTGAGTGATCAGAAGCCACTGGCACTTGGTCAATAATTTGCTAACATGATGGTGCAGAAGTCCAGATACTCCAGTACCAGAAAAGCTCCATTAAATTGGATGTCATGGTCTATTTCTCTCACTTAAAGAATGAATTGTACAGTCCTGGCCAGATGTCTGGCTCAGTTGGTTGGAGATTGGTCCCAGACACCAAAAACGTTGTGGATTGGATTCCTGGTCAAGGGCACATACCTAGGTTGTGGCCTTGATCCCAGGTTGGGGTGCTTTACAGGAGGCAACTGATCAATATTACTCTCTTTCTCTTTCCCCCTTCCTTTCTCTCTAAGAATCAATGAAAACATACCTTGGGTGAAGATAAAAGACAAAAAGAATTAACTAGATAAAATCTCATTAAATAATATATTAAGTAATTATTCATAGGAAATGGAATGTTGGCTAAAATGTTGGTTTGTTTCTAGGTTAAAGGTTAGCTAGGGTGTGTTAATTTCCCTGTTATCTCATCCAAAGCTAAGCTAAGTTTTGTGTTGACAATTTATGAAAATGTCAATGACTCATAGCAGGAAGATTTTGCTAGTCAATTTCTATTCTATTTGAGGAGACATACTGTAATAGAGTGAGAAAATGTTTGCATTTTGACATTAGAAGAATCAGTGAAAGTTTGTGCAAGGTATTTGACAGTTTTTGTTCTTGTTCTTCACCTTACATATGAAGTTAACAAATATTTATATCATAAAGATAAAATGAATGAATAAATGTTTGAAGGAGTTTTGTGGATTTTAGGTGCCTTTTCTCTAGTTCTGACTAATAAATGACTCCACAACCTCATGCCTTCAAATAACAATTTAGTGTCTTCATGGTTCTGTAGAGACTGGCTCTACCAGGAGGTTCTCACTCTGGTGTTCTCTCATGTGACTGCAGTCAGGTGGCAGCTGGACTGAAGTCATCAGAAAGTTGAAGGGACCTCTGTGTTCAAGAGAGATTCTTCTCTCCCATGTCTGGCATTTCATCTGGGATGGCTGGCATAGCTGGGGGCTGGCCAGATGTCTTTCTCTCATCTCCCAGCCATTCTGTAAAGTTATCCTGGGCTTCCTCACAGCTTGATGGTCTCAGGTCAGACTTCTGAAATGACAGCAGGCTTCCCCCAGAATGAGTGTTCCAAGGGTGTCAGGTGAAGTGGAAAACTTCTTTTAACCTAGGCCCAGAAGTCCCATGGCACCGCTCCTACTTCATGCTAGTTAGTCAAAGCTAGGTACAGGCAAGGGAAGATCAATGCATATTGGGAGGCAAGGATCATCGGGGACATCACTGGTGCCAACACAGTATTTCACTAATCTAATTGTTTTTACACATCCTTACTGTTTCTTCTCTATGCCACCAAAGTTTTTACATTTGATTTTGTTTTGGACAGGTCATCAAGGATCCTCCTCCACCACCACCCCCTGCACCAAAAGAGGTAAATGAAGTTGAAGGGGCCTCTGTGTTCAAGAGAGATTCTTCCCTCCCATGTCTGGCATTTCATCTGGGATGGCTGATGTAGACATTTTTCACTGTATTTAGATATTATTTCCAAATTTGACCAATTACATTATTGTTAGATAACAATGACACTCATGTATTGACTTTTGAATTCATGAAAATCAATTGTTATTGTTTGTCCTCGTAGGATTTCCTTCATGTGCCAGAGGAATGAGTTCTTCACACATTGATAACTGGCTATTGAGATCAATAGTAGAGAAATTTAATTTACTTCTTATAGCAATATATCAGTAGTTCTGATGTCACTTATTTTGTTTGCAAAAAGTTCCAAATTCCTAACTGTCAGTTGCAAGGTGTTACTTTCTTCAAAATGATTGTTACAGTAGTCCTCCTTATCCGTGGTCTCCCTTTCTGTAGTTTCAATTACCTGTGATAACTGTAGTCAACCGGGGTCTGAAGATATTAAAAGGAAGATTCCAGAAATAAACAATTCATAAGTTTTAAATGACATGCCATTCTGACTAGGGTGAGGAAGTCTATACCATTCCACTCTGTCTGGCCTGGGAAACCTTTGTGCAGTGTATCTGTGCTGTGTACCCACCTGTTGGTAACTCAGTAGTCATCTCCGTTCCCAGATTGACTGTCATAGTATCTCAGTGCTTGTGTTCAAGTAACCCTTATTTTATTTAATAATGTCCCCAAAGTGCAAGAGTAGTGATGCTGGAAGTTTGGATATGCCAAAGAGAAGCCGTAAAATGCATCCTTTGTGTGAAAAGGTAGAAGTTCTCAACTTAATAAGGAAAGAAAAAGAAAAACCCATATACTTAGGTTGCTAAGATTTACAGTAAGAACAAATCTTCTATCCATGAAATACCCTAATTTATAAGTTGAACTGTATGTATGTATTTTTAAAAATCATATATATATATATATGGTTTGGTAAAATCCACAGTTTCAGGCATCCCCCAGGGGTCTTGAAGGGAATAAGAGGGGGCTACTGTATTTTTATATAACTTGCATGTTAGCCTAAATTGTGTGGCACCATGAAATGTAGAATGTACTGGTGGTGTGCATTTTTCAAAACTTCTCAACTACCTATCTTTTTAGTACAAAGTTTCAGAATTCAAACTTAAATATACCTCGATGCTTTCCATGATTATTGAAATGCTATCCTAATTTTAATGTTTTATCTTTTAAAATAAGAAATGCTAAATAGGGAAAACAAACAAACAAACAAAAACAAATGATGCTCATAGCAATTCTTGGTCACCTAGTGAATAAGGGAGAGTCCTACATTTGTGGAAGGGAAGGAGTCCTATTCTCCAGAACTCCAGTGGAAACGTACGCATATGGACATAAATACATCTACTCATATAAAACTTTTCCTGCATGTTCCCTTATGAATTGCATTATTCACAGAAATGGTTAAATGTGAACCAGTTCTGACTAAGCAATATTTTAAGAATTTAATTGAAACAATTTTTAAAAACTGTATCTAAATAGGAGGAAGAAGAACCTCTGCCTAACAAGAAATGGCCAACTGTGGATGCTTCTTATTATGGCGGTCGAGGGGTTGGAGGAATTAAAAGAATGGAGGTTGGTATCTTTTTAAAAAAATAGAAGCACTAATTTGGAATATGTATTACTAGAACTATTAGTCCATGGAAACTGTACTTTTTATAGTTCAGTATCACAGTACATTCATTTTAACTTAACACTGGTTCTTTTGGGAATTATATTTTTCCCCCTATGGAATCATCTCAGCCATTTCAACACTGTTCAAGAACTGACTTTATTAGTTAAAGAACTGCATTGATAAGATGTCTGAATTCTAAAGGACATAACAAAGTTAGGGTTTTTCTCACTATTTTGGAAAAAATTACTGTAGAGAACGTCAACTTTAAAGAAGCCAGCCACTTAAAATTGCAACAATGCACCTCTTTGAAAAGATCTAATAGTTATGTACTATTTCAGGAAAAAAAATGTTACAATATTCAATAGTGTGGATTTGACCTTATCACAAATGTAGAGGAAGAACATTTAAGGCTTTTATTTTTTATAATTTTTAGTTACCACTTGTGAACGATCATAATTAATATAAGCCGTCATTTATAGAATGCATTGAACTTTTTGAAGGACTCAAATTGTGGAATAAATTGAACTTTAATATTATATTTTAAAAATAAAATGAGATCTTTTTACTACCACATAGTTATTTTTTGAAGTGATTAATCAATTAATAATAAGCAATCATTGCCAGCACTGAGCCCTGACAAGTTTGGATAGGCCTGTATCTTACCTCAGCAAGCAACTTTCTCATTGATGTACTGACTTTATTATTAAAAAAAGATCTTGACATATTGCTCCTTATTAGTTATCCTTTAATTTTACTTCTTGATAAGGAATTTTTTTATGTTGTACAGTCATGGCACATGTCTCCTACTTTCATATCTGCTTTGTTCCATTACTGCCAGTAAAAATTAATTAGCTAATTAACAACCTCAGAACTGTTGCAATTTTCTCTTTGTATATACTTCAGTAAAATACAGATTCACAAACAGCGTTTCCCCTTTTCAGAATAAATTTCAATATTTTTCAAAGAAGCTCAGGCCTACTTAACATGGTTGTCATTATTGAAATGGTTATTCAAGTCATCTGATAGTGATTGTCACTTTCTTGAGCTCATTAGATATTCAACAATGCACATTTTCCCTAAGAGCTTGCCACTATATTGCTGAAATATCCTCTGAGACAAGTACCTCATTGCCAATAAGCCATGGAAAAGGCAAGTGCTAGAGATTATTAAGTTAGTCTTTTGGAGAAGAGATTGCATCTGTGTTTGCATGTGGATGATTGGGAATATTAAGTAGTGTGAATAGCATAGCTAGACTAACTCTTGTTGCTTGATACAGAAGGAAGGTCCTTTTGCTTCAGCTTCCTTTCGTTATATTATTCTAGATTTGGGGAGCAGGGGAACAATGGATCAGATATTCCTATGTATATACAAAATGCACTTGTAAATAAAAGTGTTACATTTGGATATCTAAATATGATCTGTCACAACTTATTTTTAGTTTATTTAGCCTCATTCCAAAATGTATGTGTAAAAAGATGTATGCAATGGGGAAAAAGTTTTGACAGGGTATACCACAAATGTTTGAATAGTTTTCTCTGGATGGAGTGATTTTCAATTTGTGCTATATATTTCTTCAATTTTTTTTTTTCTAACTTATTTAACATGGAGCACATACGACTTATACTGTATTCAGAATAATAAATGTAATTCCATTTTGAAATCCACACTTGTAAAATACCACATGACAACAAGTTATGGATATATCAGAATGTGATATATTAGTATATTTTAAATGAATAAATAATGTTCTTGCTGAAAACTCTAGGAATTATGCCAGATTTTTGGTAGTTCAATACTTCAATGTTCCAAAGTTTAAGATCTCTCTCTTTTTTTAAATCCTCATGGGAGGATATTTTCCCATTTGTATCTTCAGATAGAGAGGGGGAGAGAGAGAGATAAATATCGACATGAGAGAGATACATTGACTGGTTGCCTCCCACATGACCCCAACCAGGGCTGGGGATGAACCGCAACCAAGGTAGGTGACCTTGACCAGAATCGAACCTGTGACTCTTTGGTCTGCAGGTCTATGCTCTAACTGCTGAGCCAAACTAGCCAGGGTGAAACCTCTTTCTAAAGAAAAGCAAAACATAGGCATGAGCTAAATGGGGCCTGAGCTAAAGGGGATATTATGGTTTATGTTCAAGAAATCCAAGGGCTCATGGACATTTTTTAATAACTAACATTTTAAGTTCTAAGTGTTATTGACTCTTACTATGTGAAATTATATTGCCCGTCTTGTTCAGTTGAGAAAAAATTATGAAAAGGACTCACTCACTCACTTACTTTTAATAAATTGAGGTCCATTTTAGCCGTAGATAATTCTGGCTAAATTTTATGGCATATTCCACCAATGAGATAGAAATGGGAATGAGAACGAGAACAAATGAGAAAGCAAATGTGGGCATTGCAAAGGGGAAACAACAATGCGCAAAACTAGACAACAAACATTGAAGTGAGAATTAAGCATGTCTAAACTTTCTCAAACATGAACTTATTTAAACTTGGAGAGAGAAAATAGAATACATAAGCTGCTTTAAAAGTATGCCTATTCAAACCTGGAAAGCATTTTCTTTAAAAGTGCATGCAACTAGGGAAAGTAAAAGGAATTTTATAAATGATTGCCACATCTGAATTATGGAACAAATCTTTATAACTAATATTATTTTAAGCCAGTATCGGGATTTTACTTATATATTTTTTTTTACTTTTATTTTAAATTAAACATTGAAACACTATGGTAATGGAAATTTTCAGAAAACTGGAACTGAGCTGATGTTGAAAACAGCTGTTAGCACAACTGATCCACGATACCTAATGACTTCAAATGTGTGTTTCTGCCAATTCAGCATGAAACTGTTTTTGTTTCTTTTCTGGATTCTGGAATTGCTCCTTTATGATATAACCTCCTAGTCATCCAAATATGCTGTGAAAATTATGGACTATTATTGTTCATCATGAAAGCCAAGTAGAGTTGGAAGACTTTAGCTATCAAGCTTGTGCTTATTATTATTATTTTTTTTTCTTTACAGTAAAAATATCCAGGTATAGGAATTCTGCTAAGGCTCCCTTTAGCAATCTGATCTTGTCATTCTTTTATCCTTCTGGCCATCTCAATGTGATCAAACTAAAATATTAAAATTTGTACATATACTTGCATATATATTTAACTACTTTTAAGAGTTTGAGGAAAACTCTATAATAAAGTTAGACTTCGAGATTAAGTCAGAATATGTTTTGTTGTTTGTGCTAATGGTGATGATGATGAAACAGCTACTTCATGAACTAACACTAGTCTATTTATTTAATGAATTTCCTTTCGAACTCAGCAACTATATTTCATAAGTAGAGTGCTTTGATAGTTGAATTCCTAGAAATGCCACATTGGGGCAGAACTCTAGTTTAACTAGCTTTGTGTTCTTTGAGAATGCAATAAATGAAAATTGGAGAAAAAAATAGTATTACCATTATTCCTGCAATACCAGCTATTAAGGTGAGGATGAGGAGCTATATATATTAAAATCTATAATTTCTGAATAGATCTAAAATATACCTTCATATATTTCTATTCTGAATTACTTCTCTAAGTCATGATATTTACATGTTTATTAACTGGGTATCTTTTTTCTTAAAATTGAGTCTTTACTACTGCAAGGATATGTATCCTGATTTTAGGGTTTTGTAGTTCAGTGTAGTTACTGTATATCTAAAGATTTTCTAAGTTTTAGTTTATGTAGGGGAAGACACTGTGATTTGAAAGAGAAGGTCATTTTTCTGGAAAGAGGGCCAGATATCTAGCTCTAAAGGTTTAATGGTGTTTAAAGCAATTTTAACAACCTCATAAAGAACATTCTAGTACCACTGATCACACTGAAAGATATAGATACATTTTAATAACTCAATAGGGTCCAATTGAACTTGAAAGCCCATTCTAAAATTGTAGTAAAAAGGGGTAAAAACATCTAGGTAAGCCTTATCAAAAAGCTGTGAATAGTTTTTACAAAGTGATCATCTGTATTCCTACCCACTAACTAAAGTCATTAAAATGCTTTAACATATATGTAATAATTTTTTCTTTGTAGAAATCACTTAATTCTGATGAGTCAGTGTGCCCTGGACAAGTCTTCCTATTTATTTTTAGAGCTTCATTCATGTTATCTTTGTCATCTTTGGCAACGTCCTTGGTCTTTGGACAGCTCCAGTGCTCTTGGATGGACAAAGCCTTCCTCTGGGGGCCAAGTTCTATTCACACGCTCACACGTGAAAAAGTTGGCTTAGATTTAGCTCTTATTTCTTGTACATTGTAAAATAAATAAAACAATCAGTTGACCCTGTGGTTTTTCAATGTCCAGAATTTTCAGAGAATGGAATTAAATTTCGGAATTCCCTGGTGTCCCTGAGTTTTTCTTTCCAAAGCTGAGTTTTTTTTTTTGTTTTCAGATTTATCTTCTTCAGTGAAAAATTGATATGTCAAGTAACCATACTCAGCTGAGAATAGGAACTAAAGACTGAAAGTTACTTTGAAAGTCAAGCTTTACAAAAATAAGGAAAAATCATATATGATTACTTTACTTCTGAAGGCTAAATGTTTAAGTCATACATTTGCCTTAATTGAACTTTATTAAAAGTTTGGAAGGAACAATTAACTCCTTTGTGTAAAATACATTTATAAAATTTAAACCTATTTGAAAATTATTAACCTATTTCAAATCTGAATCTGTATTCAAATCCCTGCCCTGCTACTTACTAGCTTTGTGGCTTTGGGCATGTTACTTAACCTCTCTGTGTCTCAGTGTCCTCATCTGGAAGGAAAAATACAATATCCCATTGCATTTTTGTATGAATTAAATGCAGATTGACACATAGTAACCATTCAATAAATGCTAATTACTGTTATTATCATCTATTTCCCTCAGTGCCATCAGTATATATGCGTGTGTTCAGATGGAAGGGTACCCTACCTAATTAGAGAATAAGATTACATACTGTTGTGCATTTCATATGTAAACTATGAATTAACTCATTTGAAACCATGGAGAAATGCTTGCTTCAAATTTTAATTGACTCTAGATTTATACAAAGGGTCTTTTTTCCTTTTCTAGGATCTTACTGTTAAGTACATAAGTAACGGTGATAAACCTATTAAATCTCAGAAGAGGAAGAATTTAGAGTTAGTCCACCTGCTCGTTGTTTACTCTGAGGTGGCGACCTGAAAGATCATTAGTGAAATTAGAAGTTGTTTTCCTACGACACTGTACATCTGATATAATTTTTTCCCTTTGTGTGAAAGGTTCGCTGGGGTGATAAAGGATCTACTGAGGAAGGTGCAAGGCTAGAGAAAGCCAAAAATGCCGTGGTGACTATTCCCGAAGAAACAGAGGAACCCGTCAGGCCCAGGCCACCTCGACCCAAACCCATCCACCAGCCTCCTCAGACGAAGTGGTACACACCAATTAAGGTGATTGTCCAAGTTTTGTGTAATTTGACTGAAATTTCCCAGAGAAAGTAACTCTTTTTGTCCTCCCCACCCAACTGTCTGAAGGGGGATGGGGACATGCTGTCTGCATTATACCACGGGATGCTTGCTCAGCAACAAGGGCCTCCTCTTCTTAGTACTTATTAGTGTAATTTATGAAATCAATAAGAGCAGAGAATAAAGCTGTACCTTCTTCATTTTAACTCATTTATTCAGCCAACAGAGGCTGCGTGTGTTTTGTAGGAACTGACCAATCATGTTCCTTCTAGGGCCGGCTCGATGCGCTCTGGGCTTTGCTGCGGCGGCAGTACGACCGGGTTTCCTTGATGCGACCTCAGGAAGGAGACGAGGTTAGAATGTGGGGATGTGTTGGGAAAGAGCTGACGGCTTGGGTCCGTTTAATGAAAGTAGTGAAATAATAATAAAAAAGAATTGAAAGTCCCATTACACTTGAGGAAAGAATTATCATCTCATGCAAATTCCTATTACATAGGGTGCTTATTCAATTATTATCTATTGTTGGAATACATCTTGAAGATGCAGTTTGACACAAGTCCCTTTTCAAATAATACATTAAAAATCACGGTCTATTGTTCACATGCTTTAATAAGCACACTCGTTGCTTCAGCCTTTGACTTGGACGACATCACCTTCTGAGCTTTACCTAGTGAGTGGACAGACTAGGGATAGGAATAGAAGTCTTTCTCCAGCATATACTAACAATGAGGCCTGGAGAACAGGCCTCAGAACCTCCACTTCTTTCAGTATAACTTTGTTACTTTCCTACCTCCAACAGTTGATGGAATCTAATTTCTTGAATATATGAAAGTGCCCTTAAAAGTATTATAGAAATATTTACATTTACACATATGTATTAAATAGCTATAAATATACACGTGTGTGTGTGTGTGTGTGTGTGTGCATTTTTTCTACTGAGGAATCCTTTTTGAAGCTTTTTGTTTTTGGAAATTTGTGTAGAATTACCCCAATTTTATAATTTGTTTGAAATATTAGCCTTATTTCCTGTTATGCCAATGTAAGAAAAATTAGTTAAAACCTTTTGATGTGAAACAATGACAAGTTTGGCTTAGAAACACCCCAGTGATGGTGATAATAACAGGATCTCTTCATTATGTGTCAGCATTGGGTTCATTCAGGTCCTACAGGCTGTTTTTTTTTTTTTTTTTTTTAAGGAGGAAATAATTGATGAGATGCATATTTATTTTACAGTGCCAAGCTGTTATATTTAGTGTTATATGAATCTATGTTGGTTTTTAAATTATGAAAACATCTAAATCTTAAAATTTTACTTCTATGAATTGAGGGTAGTATTAAAACCATCTGAGTTAGGAAATTCAACTTGAGAAAATATTCCTGGAATATTCCCAGCAGATCACTTACCCTTTGCTAGGACCACAGGTAGACAGAACCAGGTGGTTCATGAAGCAGCCTCTTTCATTGCCAGACTATTGTGGTTAACAGAATGTACCCATATTTAGTGAACTCTGTGCCCTTGTTAAATGCTTGCATCACTTGGAGTTCTGCTTCTGCAACAACATATCACCACTCCACTTACCCTTCTATATACTAGACTTTTACTTTATGCTTTAAAGTAGTTTTCATGACATCTTAATTTTATACCATCTTAGTTTTCTCTCCTTCATGTTAGACATTAGTTCATTTGTTCAATAATTTTCACCTTTTTAAGTGTTGTGAATTGCTAACACTGAAGATGTATTGGCCAGTAAAAACAGACAATGGTTCCAGCACTCTTGCCAATACTTTATATATTCTTTTAACTCTCATAATTCACATTTATTTTTTTGGTCTTTCAACATTCCTACTACTATTGATTTAATTTAATAATTTTTGTATTATAAATATGTACAAATAATGGCATCAGGTAATACTAAGGGTGGGGTGGGGTGGAGAGTGATACAAACTATAGCCTTCGTCCTTAAGAAACCTGAAATTTGTTTGGGAAACAAGACATATATAAAAATAATGTTTTTTCCAGAATGTGATCTGGGCCATAGTGTAGGTAGGTATCAAGTGCTCTTGAGTGCATTCAGCAAGAGAGATTAACTGTTTTTGGATGAATTTGGGAATGCTTCTTCAAAAACATAGGCCTTATATCTTTGAAAATAGGTAGGATTTCCTCAGGTGGAGTTACATAGAATGAGCATTTCCACTGATGAAGCATCATGAGCAAAGTCTCTGAGGCGGCCAAGAATACAGTGATTTGTGGATTACTAGGTAGTCTGGAGGTTGGGGGTTAAAACCAGAATAGGTTGGGAACAGAACAGATCTTTGAATTTGGGTAAGTTGATACATTTGGATTTTAAAATGATTCATTACTCTTGTTCATTCAACAATATTTATATAGTGCCTAATATGTACCAAGAACCTTGTTAAGACACCAAATAAATGTAGCATTCTTCTTAAATTATAGTGCTGGAATATGCCACATATTGTCCAAAAGGTGAAATTAGTGTTTATTTTTCCATGGTGAAAGACTAATGCTTCCATTATTTTACTAAGATTTCATTTGGTTTTTAGTAATTGGGCACACTTTCATTTAATATAGTCCTAAAGTCTTCTATTCTAACTCTTAAGGTCAAATTGTTTCAAAATTCAGAAATTTTCAGATATTAGGAATCTGATATAGTCCATATATCATATTTATGTGAAAGCACCTCCTGATAATTATTCATTTTGCTTCAAAAATATTAATTGTTAAAAGTAGATACATATAGACTATAATTAGTCTCAATTCACTTCAGGTCAGGTTTTGCTTTTAAATAAATTTTGATGACAAACATTGCATAAAATTTTGTTTTCGAAGGTTTTGTATTTCAAAGTTTACATAAAATATAGTCAATCTTTATTGTGTGCGCTATTTATTATTTTTTGTTTTTACTTAAATGTAGGACTTTAAGCTTAATAAACATCAGTTGTTGGTTCAATGAATGAATTTGCTATTCTGTCAAATATATATTATGATTCAATGTGTGCTTGACACAGTCTGACTGAATCTTTCTTCACAATACCTATTTTTTTGTTGTTAACCCTCACCCAAGGATCTTTTCCCATTGATTTTTAGATAGAGTGGAAGAGAGGGAGGGGGAAAGAGAGAGAAAAAAAAACAAAACATCAATGGTAGAGAGACACATCAATTGGTTGCCGCCCATACATACCCTGACCAGGCTGGGAATTGAACCTGCAACCCAGGTATGTGCCCTTGACCAGGAATCAAAACCACAACCATTTGATTCTTGGGCTGATGCTCTAACCACTGAGCCAAATTGGCCCGGTCTTCATAATACCTATTTTTGATAGTTTTACTCTCCAACATTTTCTCACCTGCACATTTTTGTCACTTATTTTAAGCCACTGTTAAAACCTCAGTGTGGCGCAATGAGAGCTTTTCCCACAGGCTGACACTCCACAGTTAACTGGCGTTGGTATGGTAAAGTTAGGAACCACCCAACAGTACAATCTCAGATTACCATTTTATTCTCAAGGCTATTTAATACATTTTGTTAAATTATTTGATGAATTTAAGGTATAATGTATATTTATGTTTTCCCCCATCCAACCAACCAATGATGGAAAATTATTTGATCATGGAAATCAGGTAAGCTTGACATGAGTAGCTCTTTTGGTTCTGTTCTTGCTAGTGATCTTTTAGAGTATTCATTATTTTTTTAGGCTGAGGTTTGATACAAAGTCTATAGTTATCAGCATATAACCTTTTCCCTTTAGACTACTTGAGAAGTCTTTCCCCTACCACTTGCTTTGTTTATTTCCCATTTCCCATTTTTTATCTTTCACAAAGATTGTTAAGAATATCCGTTTCTCTCAACTCCACATTATCAACCAGGTCCTCTTTATTTTACAGGGTTAATTCCAGTGTAAACTTCCCATTCCATATACATTCATAACTATAACCTGTATTTTTTCAGAGATTAAATGTTAGAATTAGCAAGAATCATTTCACTACTTAGCAGGACTAGTGTTCTGTATCCTCATAATTGAGGAAAACTGAAGAGTTCCAATATTTTTTGTATGTTTACATTATCTTTCAGAAAGCCATCATATTGCTTTGGTTACATGGTCTCTAGAATGCTTTCCCTTCCTTCCTTTCTTCCTTCCTTTCTCCCTTCCTTTCTCCCTTCCTTTCTCCCTTCCTTCCTTCCTTCCTTCCTTCCACCCATCCATTCATTCATCCATCCATCCATCCATCCATCCATCCTTTTTCTTCTTTGTCTCTTAAACACATTGATCTCCACTATACTTTCACTTTCAGATTTGCTAACTTCTTACACTAATTAATGCATTTCTTATGTGCTATGCTAATTTTGTTTTTAGTTTCATTTGAATGACTGAAGACTTTCAGTTGCTCTATTATTATCCTCATGAGCACAGTCATTATTGACAAGGCCTACCATGCAACTCTTTGATATTTGTGCCAAAAAGAATCTGCACTGCCCTGGGCTGGTTTGGCTCAGCGAATAGAGCGTCAGCCTGTGGACCAGAGAGACCTGGATTTGGTCTCTAGGGGCATGTGCCTCGGTTGCAGTTTGTCCCCTGTCCCAATTGGAGTTGTGTGGGTGGTGACCACTCAATGTTTCTCTCTCTCTCTCCCCCTCCCCTTTTCCCTCTGGCTCTATCTGAAGATAAATGCAAAAATGTCCTTATGTGAGGATTGAAAAAAAAAAATCTGCACCAATCAGACACTTAAATCATAGTAAATGTTTTGGTGGATTCTATTTAAAAGTCTTTACAATAACTGAAATACATCAAATATTATTATCCAAAACAGTAATATTTATAATTATTTGTTTAAGTAAAATCACAATTGCATGTTGCAGTGACATAATCCATACTGAGACTCCAACATCTCACACATTTTGTTTTATTTTATAAAACAGGAACATACAATATTTCTTAACTTCCAGTACTTTCTGCTTTAGAGTATTTTTTTCATTTGAGAAAACTAAAGTAATTTACCCAGTATGAAAGTGAGGCTTCAGAGGTAGAGAATCAGGGAGGAGAACACATTGGGCATGGCTAACTGTGGTGTATGGTAAATATGGGACAATCTGCTTTGATAGTGCTTTATCTGGGCATGAGGAGACCATGGCTACCATTACCTCCTATTTATTGTGTCTAGTTAGTTAAGCCCTCAAAAATTAAACTGCTTGAACTCCATGGTTTTCATCAAATTTGCTCCTATATTTGTCTTTGCTTCTATAGAATTACATGGGGTAGAGAAATTTTTTTAATTTAGGAGACTAGGATGTCCAAGTGGCAGTATCTTCTTCTTCTCCGGCTCTTGGTGATGGATTTTCTAGGTAGCCAGGGCATAATCATTGAATGAGAAAATCAGTCTTGGAATTGTTTGATTGCGCGTTAGATAATTACACTTACCTGTTATAGAAAGGATAAATTCTTGTCTTCAGCTGTATTCCCCTAAAACTAATCAGTACCTGATAAACTAAGTTAAACGCTGAACTCAGGCTACTCATGAAGGTTTCACACATGTGTGTATGTTCATACACATGAGATGTTCATGGTCCCTTGAAACTTTATCAATTTTATATCACAAATCCATTTTCCCATTAGATATTAGGAAATCTGTAAATAGTATTGTGTCGGCTTAGATTAGATACATTGATTTCCCCCTTAAAAGGTTTACCTCTGTATATCAGATAATTCATTGGAATAAACATTGTTAACTATTCAAGGCCAATTCTTTTTCAAAGAAAGTTTATCAACATACAAATTGGTGAATAAGTTTTAAAAATCATTTTGTTGGTTTCCTTTTCCTCATAAAGGCTGGTGTATGTTTACTGATGATCATGCCTCTTATGAATTATTTGCATAATGGTGTAGGAGGTGTGTTTGAATGTGTATGTGTAAATATAAAGCGATTTGTATGTTGAAGGGATTATTTAGACTTTGGGAAAATATTCTAGTTGGAATTGAACGCAGTTTGTTTTAGATTGTACAGAAACAAACGAGAATGTTTTTATTTCCGATTTTTTAAAGGAAGCAGCAGTCACTCGTGTCCTTAAAAAGATAAAAAAGAACAAACTTTATGCTGTTTGAGAGACAATAAAGCACAATTGTTTTCAGTCTGTGGCTGATGGCTCCAAAATAACAGACCCTCTGCGTAATCAGCTGCACGTTTCCTACCTTGGAAAACAATCTTGTCATTTATTTATAAATTGTTTACTGCAGATCCTGCCTCTGGAGAGTTCAGTTTAATAAACAAATCAGCGAATTTAGGACTAAACCCAGAGTCACGCACATTTATTCTGCAAGTCAAATACTCTCCTTTCATGGCTCAGAGGCCGCGCCGGGCTCATTTGCAGAATTCACTGCAGAATTGAAGTCCTTGATCAAGTAATTGAAGTTAAAGCATAAAGTATCAAAGCGGCGCGAGAAATCTCTCCGTCCCTCGCTCCCGCTACGTCTCCGCGCCGCCAGCTCCCGCGGAGACGCGGCGTCCGCGGGCTGCGCACACGCCAGGCGCGGGCTTTGATTGTGGCTGCAACTCCTCCGAGTCATGAATGTTTCAGCGCCCGCGCGCGGGGTTAGGGCCGCGCGTCCAGGTGTAAGCTAGCAGGTTGTCGCCGACATCTGCTTGCAGCGGCGGCAGCGGCCTCCCCAGCCGGCAGCGGGCGGCCGGGTTGTCAGCGGAGGTAGCTGAGAGCGGCAGAGCCGTTTTGGTCTCACTCGCTGCCTGGAGGCCCGAAACACCAAAGGTAGGAGTAGGGGTGGACACAGCTGCGCTCCCAAACTTGCCTTAGGCACAAATAAAGAGATCTAATGCAGTTTGACTCCGTTGCGGTGGGGAGACAGGGACAGAAAGCCACTTCAGAGACAACTTAACGCTGCAACATCTGCCGCCAAGTTTCCGGGGAGTGACGGGGGACAGCAGGTACCAATCTAAGTCTCAACATAAACAACCTCCATAAAGCCATGCGCTCTTTTGAAGGGCCTCCATCAAACATGCTGGAGTCCGCAGCAGGAGTTTGTTTGGTTTTCAAAGCAGTGTTTTGTTTTTGCAATAACAAGGTAATTTATAAATGATTCATTACCATGCGTTCTCCTATTTTTATTTGAAGAGGGAGAGTTAGAGAAGCAAAAAGGCAAAGAAAGAAGAAAGCACAGCACTAGTTTTGGAGTTGTTCCATAAACCCATTAAATCTCCACGGAGCTTCTTGGCTGTAATCGAGGTTATATTAACCTTCAGACCGCAATCCCTCATTCACCAGTGAGCAGACATTTATATAGTGCACTGGAAGACTCCTAGTAATAGTAACAACCGTGGTGTACACGCCTGTTTGTTTTTAGACTTATAGGACAGGGCTTCTTACAACCTGGAGGCGAAATGTAATTCGATTTTATTTTTCTGGTGGGGTATACTCTTTTAGTAAAATGAAGTTCAGAAAATTGCATTGACCTTAATTTTTTTCCTAGTTATAAAGACTTCATGCCTATAATTGGATATTAAAAATAAGATTTTTAAGTCAAAAGGAAGAACTACATGTTAAAGGTAGCCTTTTTTTTTTTTTTTTTCCAGCGAGTTTCCCCCTCTACCATCTAGGTTCTTTAGGCCAATTA